GCTCGGCAACTCAACTCACGATGGTCAACAGACAACTACAGCCACAAGCAGCAACCAAAGCAACATCGACTAGAACTAGCTCAAGACTCAAGAATCAAAAAGCTCCAAATTCACCCCCAAGAAGAGCAGACCAGCTGAATCCACGAACAGGCGAACAACAGACCGGGAAGAATGTAGGACGGCCAACAGCAGCTTCCAATCAAGAAGAGGGCTCAAAAACACAACAGAAAGAGAAATCTACTAACCGATCGAACGTCTCTCACACTTTGAGCAACACCGAACCTGAGCCCCAGGTGCCCAAGGACGATTTTGAAGAGCGCCACGCCTGCAAGACTGCGTGAGTCGACCCTGTAGAAAATTCATGGCCATTGATTAGATCTTCTCAGCTTGCTCATCATCATCTTCCGCATTCCTTTTGGGTCTTCCCTTTTCCCCTCCTCTCTTGTTTGACAAAATCAGACCGGGTATCAGTGCTCAAGGCGTCATTGTCAAACAACTTATCGATCGGATGAGAATCGATCCAAAATTCGTTTCCGACCTTACGAGAGGTAAAGAACTGAGTTTCGCTCAATCTTCCCCTCAAGCCACGCCATCAGCCTCAGAGGAGATGGAAGCAGCAATTCTTTTGCCGAAGAAATCCACGAAGGACACCGGAATCGTTCCAGTTGCAAGTTCAACAACCAAACCGATTTCCAACTTTCGCTTCAATGCCCCGCAAGAAGATGCTAGCCAAATCCCATTCGAGTCTCTCCCAACCGAGGAAGATCAGTTTGCCGATCCTGAAACGCAAGAGTCACAAGAACCCGTTGGGGAAAGCGAGTTGGATGAAGATAGCACTCACGAGTCCAATGGATCCGTTGAACAAGGCGTGATCGATGTTGATGAAGAATCGAACGTGTCTGTTGATGTTGATGAGAGTGTAATAGATTCGCATGATGCTCAAGAACCAAACAGGTCGATTGGGGAAACAGATCTAGTTGGCCAAGAAACTCAAGAGTCACACGATGATATTCAAATAGAAGACTTCCTTGTAGGCTCCAAATCGACCACCAACAATGTGGACGGGCAGGACCGACCAAATGAAGACCTGACCACAGAGTCAAACAGATCGGTCGAGGAAATTGGACCTGATGCTCATGAAACTCAAGTGTCATTCGACGATTCTCTTGTAGCTTCGAACTTGATTTCTAACCTTTTCAATTCGATCGATCCGGGCGACGCGCCGGCAGATGAAGTTGCTCTAGATACAGGTCTACCAACAAATCTTGCAAACCTTACATCAACTGAAGAGTCAATCGAACCTGCGCTGCCTGACACTCAAGAGTCAAACTTGAACTCTGCCATGGTGGGCTCTTCCATCAGTTTGACGATAAATCGAGCGGATGAACCGGAACAATCACAAGGAGACCCGCTGGCAGATAAGTCGACTCAAGCTGGTACATCATCTAGTCCTGTAAAACACTTGCCAAAGACATTTTCAAGCGAGCCCATGGAGGAGGATGAGCTTGCACCATCTGTTCCTGAAGACACCAACGGAAATACCCAAATCGATGATCATCTCGTGGTTTCCGACTCGACCTCCAACCCAAGAACCTCCAGTCACTCGGATGACACGGGTATATCGAAAGAAAACCGGCTAGTAGATAAGCATACTCAAGAGTCCGATATGAATTCCAGTTTCCCAAATCAGCCGTTGACCCCTGAGTCAAGCGAACCCATCGAGGTTGATGAGCTTGCCGTATCTGACGCTGAGGAGACAAACGGAGATACTCAAATGAGAGACGCAGCCGCCAATGCGACATCCAAAGATGTAGATAACCTAGAGCGAACCAATGAAGCCCTACCAGCAGATCAACCTACTCTAGGATTGGGGTCGAACGATCATGGCCTCGATGACAACGAGCCAATGCTTGATGTCTATGTCGCACCCGATTTGCCTGATCGTCAGCTTCCATCGGCTCAAGGTGACGACCAATTGGATCAAGTCGATCCGCTGCCATCCTCTGCCAAGGGTGGTTCTCCAGCTCCCCAAGATGATCCTCCTCCTCAAGATGACCCTCTTACCCAAGTTAATCCTCTTCCACAAGATGATCCTCCTCCCCAAGATGATCCTCTCCCTCAAGATGATTTTATCCACCAAGATAATCCTCTCCATCAAGATAATCCTCTTCACCAAGATGACCCTCTCCACCAAGATGATTCTATTTCCCAGCATTCGCCTACCCCTAAAGGTTCTCCTGCTGCCCAAGATCCCCGCAATTCAAAGAAGTCCGCCCAGAAAGGAAAATCTCGAGCCGCAACCGGTTCATCACGCTCAGCCTTCGGTAAACCTTCTGGTTTTATTTCGAACGAAAGCGACAGTCCTGATTCGGTCTCGAGACGCGAACCACCCCGGAAACGACCGTTACCCTCAGAACCGCCCCTGCGGGGAAAGCTTGCCCAAACTCATCAATCTTCTAGCTCAACCAAACAATCTGGGTCACATGAGAACCCAAAAAAGAGGAAATCCTCCAGGAAACCTGAGCCTGTGCCAACTGACTCTGAGGAGGACAAGACAGAAAAAAAGGGTAAGAAAGCAAGCTCAAGTAAGCGATCAAAACAACAGGAAGGAGCGCGGAGAGCTGTAGATGGAACCGACTCTGAAGAATCCGAGACTGGTGATACCAAGCGAGGAAAACGTCGGAGTAAGAGAAGGAAAACAGAGTCCACTTCCCCCGCCCCTATTCCAAAACGCTCTTCAACGGAGGATGGCTATGAAAGTTCATTTTCGTGGACGGGTATTCCACTTTCGGAACCCAGGGTTCAACGAAGTACCTCACGCACTCCCAAGGGTGGCCGACGCAAGAGGACATTCTGGTGCGAAGATGAAGAGAAACTGTTGATTAAGGAAGTCCTTAAATGGCATTCAAAATCCAATTGTATGGCTGAAATCCTGAAGAGACACGGGCTTCGTGGAACCGTTTCTAAGACCTTCGCTCATAGAAATAGCGTGCAGCTTAAGGATAAGGCTATCAATGTTGAGTTTGGCTTCTTTTTTTGTTCTTAAATTACAATACTCCTGGTCGTGAAAACGTTGATAATAACTGAGCTTATGTTTTCAATCTCATTTTTTTTAGCTATCTACTAAATGGAAAAGAGAAAGAGTTGACCTTCCCAAACCAGTTAAAAAAGCATTTTCTCGTTTTCCGCCTAAGGTTCAACTTCATTCATCAGATTCGGAAGGACGCTCCAGTGCGAAAGAAGGGGAAGATCGATCGGATGTTGATCAGTTGTCTGACTCGGAACCGGAGAAACCACCTCCACCAAGGAAAAGAGAAAAATCTAGTAAATCTAAATCAGTCCGCCCTGAGCCAGAAGACTCTCTTCCGGCTGTCGAAGAGGAATCGGATCATCCTCAGTCATCGGCCAAAGAGAAACCTCGATCTTCGTCCCGAGATAGAGAGAAATCTAGTAGACCTAAATCACCGCTCCATGAACCTGAATGCTCTCCTTTGCCTGGCAATCAACAACTCATTCAAGCCAAAGAAAAAAGAAACTAATCACCCCTTGTTCGGATCACATTTACCTTTGATGACGGACACTAATCTTTACACATTTATTTTACCCTTTAAGCCTTGTTAACCTCTTGATGTTTTTTTTTTTCATTTATTTGAATAAAAATTCTCTTGATGTGAAGCTTAGTGGTTTAAAAGTCTTTCAAATTTTGTACTCTCTTCCTCCTTATATGTGTAATCAATTTTTGGCTTTTTTCACTTTCAAGTTTAGCCTTCATTATGTTGTCCTCCCTCCCTTTCTTCAACTGTCACCTTTCTTCAATTATTTATTTCTATATGTATCAGTGTAGTTGCTGTATCACTTGCATGCATGTGGTTTAATTGATTTCTAAACAAGGAAAATCTCCAATCTTTTACCTCCATTGTCATCATATAAAATCCTTCCAAAAAATCATTCAAAAAAAAATGTGTGCAACTTCCATGCCTGGCATATGACATGGCAGCAACACTGGGTATCCCAAAGAATAGCTCATTTGCTGCCAGTGTCGTATCATAAGCTTACTTTTCTATAATTGTTTTGCCATTCTGTTAAAAAAGGATCAAACCAATCATCCTTTTCACACAGAACCATGCAGTGCTTGCCTCTTCAAAAAGGTGCATGGAAACCCACGGAATCATGAAAGACAACTGACAGACCCTGGTGGCATTGATGGTAGACTAGGACGACACATAAGACCCCGTCCCGTTGTTACCTTACCACCTGACCACGGAACTAGTGATGGCAAATTTCTATAGCTGAGGGTGCCCCAGCAAGAGACTATGGAGCATCATGGCTCTTGCCGCATTCAGACTCTTGCTTGGCTTCCTCGTCCGGAATCTCAACCCCGTCCTTGCTGCTGCTCCGGCCAAGACTGGCCGGATTTTGCTCTCCATGCTATCTTCACTCTTATTTTGTGGTTTGGTTGTCCGAGTATCACTGTATTGGAGGGAACCTTTGAAGAGGTTCTCGTGGCACCTGCACCCTGTGAACACGTTGGAAAGGCTCCTAGTCCACCATAACTCCACCACCATCATTACTCAAAGTTCAATATCTTATCATAAACTACTTAGTTGAATTCTTATCTCAAAAATGTCATTATAGGTTCACACTGTATTATTATTATTTTTCAGCAGGTAGCCTTCATTCCTGGTTTTGTTGTCTGTAACCAATGTTGTGATACGTACCTTTTTCATAAGATAGGGAAAAGTAAGGGTTAATCATAAGATAGGGAAAAGTTAGGGTGAATTTCTGTACAGATTCACTAGTATTTGCCCCAATTTTGGGCAGTGTGACTGCTGACCTTATTTTTGCCCCAAATGTTGGTGGGTTTTACTTGATGACCTTTCGCCCCTTTTGGGGGTGTTGCTTCAATTCAGCACCTGTCTTGGTCTAACGTTGGCACTGACAAATGTGAATTGAAGGTCGACACCAGCATTGGATTGCATGACAGTTTTTTTGGCTCTCTGAGCCTATCTATTTAGTTATATGTAGATGCTTATATTCTCACTTGATCCAATTTTATTCGATAACTCGAAGTGTATCAACTGAGCTTTTACTTCGATTACAACTGTTATACACACGCAAATTAGGATAAATAGAGAAATTTGATAGGCTGGACACAAGAGGAGAAAGTGGGCTGTATTGGTGTGTGGGAACTGGAAGCATCAGTTCATGACTTAATGGTTTATCTGATAACGTTTAAGAAGAAGGGGCCCACATCCCAATAAGCACTTGGTTTATTGGGGTTTATATCGTGTTCCGTATTTCGAGTGATATTTTAAGAGAGTGTGCCATGTCGTCTGATGGACTAATTGATATATTAAGGTGGTCCCCAATCATCATCGACAGTCAAGTCCTCCAGGAAACGATTGGCAGCTTTATGCCAGAGATCTTTCATATTGAGAGACCAAGCATTGAAGTGATCTTTGGCTGATGAATGATCGATCCCGTCCTCCAAAGTGATGACATGAGAGCCTAGGACGAGGAAGATGGGCCCTAGGATTTCTGATGAGAGGTTCACTTGAGACCGATACGAAGCTAAATCGTTAATCAAGCGAAAGTTGAGCCGAGCGAAATTCACAAAGTCGTCGAAAGCCCGACTCATCGAATCCGGTTCGTTGGCTAAGAGGTTAAGCGTCCAACAATCAATCTTCTTCGAATCCAGAATCAAAGGCGAGTTGTTCTTGGTGATTTCCATTAACTTCTTTGACAGAATTCGGGTCAACTTGAGCAAGGGTATGACCGATTTTCCCGCCCGAGAGATAATTTCCTCAGCGTATCGATCTTCGGGCCGTCTTTGATCATCTGCACCAGCAATTCGAGGAAGTTCCCCCTGGGGATTGAGTTGGATTTTTATGCGTTCTAATGTTTCATCGAGTGATCCGATTGTCTCTAGCCAGCCCTGTCGGAGAATGGCGAAATCGGAGCGTTTGGACCATTTAATTATGCCATCAATCGCACGATTGCAATCGGTTACACCCTCGATTATTCGTTGTCCCCTTTTGGCTTGATGCTCAGACTCTTCTGGACTAAGCTTGCTTGGTCGCTTGTAGTTTTCAATGAATGAGAGGTACCATTCGTATTGCATATTGATTTCGGATTGAATCAACTCACAGATTTGATCATGTAAGGGAGAGAATCTGAAAGCTTTCAGATGTTTGAAGAGATCGTCGTAATTTCTGTCCCTCGTTTCGACCGAGCCCATAGTAAGATACAAAGTACATAGAGTTTCATCAAGAGCGGATACGATCTTCAAAGCCAAGTCAAAGTCTGGGATCGGCTCTTCAGTGGGATCGAGTAAGTCGAGAGCTGCAACAAGCGAGTTGTGTTGTTCCTTGATCGAAAGTAGCAGTTTCGAATGCCTCGTTCCGTTCAAGAGTTCCTGGTTCTGCCCCAGTTTTGCGGGCGATTGTAGGTCCACCTTCGGGTAGTCATAACGGATCACTAGAAATTCGCTTTTGTCGATCATGAGCTCTAAGGTACTGATGAGCTCTACATACATATTTATTTATTTTGCAATAGTTTTCTTTTTTTTATTTCAGCTTCGTGACACACATGATCAAGAACACTGTGAAAATCGTTGGGTTCAAAGGCTGACTGACGAGACGTGTTTGGAGCTGAAGATGAGTCTGATTCCGAATCAGACATGATGGGATCCCCTTGAGCTGTCTTTCCGGGTGGCCGGACGAACGATATGACTTGGCCTTGGACTCAGCGAAGTATAAACGTGACGACTAGCTGAAACGCTATGAAATATTGTTAATGAGGATATCGATCAGCTTCAAACGATGTCTATGGACTCGGGTCCTGTTTCCCAAATCGTTGACAAACCACCAACCTGCTCCGATGGTATACGCTAGCCCTTTCGTAGCTTTCGTCCGGTCTTGGTTCCTGGACAAATGTAACTCGGCGAACAGAGGGAACCGGGCACTCGCGTATGATCTGGTTCACAACCGGTCAACCCGGAGCTACAGAGTGCTTTCTTTCAATGACCGCTCCGTGAGCCGACCATCGATGGTGATCGGCCTCTTCAGATGACCGGGTTTGACCTAACTTCATCGGCTCCGTTTGACCGGTACCGGTCATCATAGAGGCCTTCCCGGTGGCGAGGCCAAGGGAGGCTCACTACGGGACAGCGCCGTCCGCCCTCCGAAAACAGGGCTTCGTTAAGTTACATACACTCGACTGAAGCTGAATTAAAATTGGTTAAAATCGGTTAACTTTGTGGGCTTTAACCTGGTTTCTGCCCAGCGTAGATGGCTTTTGGGTAGTCTGCCTACTCAGCTTGCTCGTCACTCTTTCAACTTGAACAAGTAAAGTCATCTGTCTCGCTTTTCCTCATCCACTTCCACTGACTCCATCCTTGTCATCTCATTCAGCTCTCTCATCCATCAGAGACCGATATCCTTCTGTCGACCATAAGATTAGATCCCTCCCCACTCGACTTCGTTCTGCGTCGACTTCATTCATCTTAGCCATTCGTTCTTCCCCCAATAACATCATTCGTACTCAGGAGACTTCGGTTGATTAACTACAACAGCGAAACTTGCAATGTCGGATTACGAACCAAGTCCAAGTGAAACAATTGGTAACTAATTACTACATTTCATCCAACTCCAAGCGAATAAAAACATGAGACTTAGTTGGAAATGTTTGAATTCCCTTTTTTTTAGATCAAATCATCCAGGGGCTCAACAGCTCGATTGAAAGATGGGACTACAAAGACCATCTTGCTCCTATAAGAAGGCCACCCCTTTATGCTGACGATGCGACATGGGAGCATGATAACATCAGAGCTCTTAGACGAGAAGCTATGTCAACAGATGAAGTCGATGATCGGAAAGCTCTCCTGCTTCAATTACAGAACGTGTTTTCTACCCTCATTGAAACAGCAACTCGCCGATCTGTTGAAGTCATTGGACCTAGCCGACCTGTCGAAAGATCCAAAACCGAATCTTCTTGATATTCTAGAAACCGTATCCCGACTCGGCCAGACATTCAAGCAAATCAATGCCTTTCTCTACTCCATCGCTGGTATCGCTGCCTGTTCATCGCAAGCACACAAAAAATACGACCATGATTACGGTGGCGTGAAAGAATTCAGATGCCACTCTTTAATAGAGAAAATCAATCATCTGATGAGTGAACATATCTGGGTACTGTTCAAGCGTCACATCCCATACATTCTACTCCGGTCAAAAGACCATCCGACTCGCTTGAACGATCGATCTGATCTAATCACCCACGGGGGAAAGCTGATTGAAGGAATAGCCCGATCTTCCGATTACATCGACACGATCATCCAATTGTCCAAGCGATCTGATTTCAATATTCTCCAAGACAAATGGAGAGGAAAATCTAATGATCTTAATTGTCTTCTGAAGCGAATCGCTGTACGGATCAACCCAACAACTGAAGAGGAACGCCTTCTAATTGATGCCGGCCTACCGGAAATTCCAAGCACTTCCAAAGCCATTGCCGATGACAATCATTCTACCAACACCGATCAAGCTGAAATCGATTCTAATTATCAAGACACCGCATCCGACACTGACTCTTCAATCGATCAGGAAGATGATGAATCTGATACAAGCTGTTCGACTTGCTCATCTGAAGAGTCCTTTCTGAGATCATTGCTCATTAAACTCGCCCAATCAGCCATACCACTGATCAAATTGGTCAGAATCCTATTCAACAAGCTATCGAACCCAATAAGTCAAGTACCATTTACGATTGGTCTTAAGATGAGTTCAATGGATATTGAATCAGTACAGGGTGAACTGAGCTCTCTTGATTGCAGTATCCATCATATCCTGAACGACTTGCTCTATATGTATGATTGCGAAGGGATTATGGATGAGTTAAAGAGCGTCAAGATGTTGCGCGAGCGACTCTGGAGGTATTTTGATTCTTCCCTAGTTTTGCTGTGCTTCTATCTGGTTCCTTCAACTGGTATAGAGCTGCAGATTCCTATATCTGGGAATCATTCCAAAACTTGGTTTCTCGAATTAAGAGAACAATTCTACTTGGCTACTAAAGTGTTTGACAAAGCTCTTTATGAATTTGAACAGGAAATAGAATTATAATCATCCTATCTTCTACTCTTTCAATTGACAATCTTCAAACATAAACTTATTTATGTTTTGCAATGGCTGGATTCACCCTTGGTGAATATTGTCCAAGAAGTGGCTAGGTGAATGATAACTTGACCCATTATTAGAGTAACCACAAGTTGAAAGAAAAGACTCAGGCTGAGTGTATTCTCAAATTTCAGAACATTGGCTCAAAGAATTTTCTTTCTCATACAAATTCTATCCTTCCAAATTTTCCAACTCCTACAACCTCAGGGTTGTTGCCTCAGACTTGTTGGATTTCATCCATTCTTTGGAAGTTTTTACATTGTGAGAAGAGATATTTCTTCTACAAAATCAAATAAGACTCAGCCTATGATCTCAGAAACATCCACAACTTTAACTCTGTTCCAGTTGCCAAAAGCAGGAATACAAGTTTGATTTTTATACTATGATTTATATATTCAAAATCATTCACCCAATTTATTATTTATGAATAGTTTCTGACTTCAAGTTTTCTTGAAATTACTCCCCAGACATCCAATAAATGGATTTATCTCAACCTGCTACACCATCTTATGGCAAGCTCTGTGGTTTGATTTTTTTTTTTTTTCAAACAGGTCTGATTATGAGGATTTATTTCTGTCTGGTTGGTATTCATAGGAATTGCTGGTTGATTGGGATGCATGATGATGAGGAAATACATCAATATCAATTATACAACTCCGATATGACACATTGCATGATTACTATCATGGTTGCTCTTTATCCTTTGGGCAACAAAAAATAAAGTTCAGGATAAAACTACCTCAAGAGTCAAACCTTCTGTTGATGTTTTTTTTTTTGGTTTGGTGTTTGTAAAAGCCATGGAATGACCAAGGATGAGAATCTCAGTTTTGAAACCAAAATCAAGAGTCTCTTCTCTCACTATACCTATTCATGCAGCTGTGCAGGTCAAAAACTCTACTGGCAGGAGATGGAAGAGGAGAGGGGAAATACTCTTGATCTTACTTATAGGCCCTGATTGTAAAGTCTTTTGAAATATATTGGAGGACTTCTGGTTGCCATTTAGAGTGCTTTTTAGGCCCTCCCCAGTCCTAAATTAACACCTCAATCATAACTCCAACCAGCTCACATGAACATGAGAGCTATCTTCACAAGGCTTGTGAAAAAAAAAAATTGTTATACCAAAAATTAAGATCTAGGGGGTGTAAATCAAATTCTGGGAGGGTTGTTTACAGCAATGGGAATTCATTCATTTGAACGTTTTTGAAAAGTGTTCCAACTTTGTTTTCTTTTCCATTTTCTTTTTTTCTTCTCTCAAAAACAGGGAATGATAAGCGCATGCCTCCCCCCCCCCCCTCGCGCATGCCAGCAGCAGAGGACTGGGGCTATCCCATAGGACCCAGGCCTGGGTCCTATGGGATAGCCCAGAGTGTGATGTTTTCTTTCAAGAAAAAAAAGAAAGAAAAACGCTGGAGGCTGGGAGGAACCCCTCCCCACCCAGACTCTACACTCCTCAAGGGCAGGAGGGCTTCATCTCGGCCTTGGACTTTGTACAGTCCTCAGGGTGAGAGGGACCCCTCCTTGGTCTAGGGACTTGTACAGTCTCAAGGTTGGAGGAA